AAAGTACACTAGTTTTACTATTCGTCAGCACCTCTCTGTCTATCTTGATCATAGTGTTATACTGTTCTATGTTATGTTATGCTATCACAATCGAGGTCACTGCACACTGGGCATTCCCATGTGTGCTCAGTACTCTGATGCAGCAGCCCCACCAAGGTATTACTAATTGCTCCCATGAAAAGTTGGTTATAATATATCCTATCTCGGCCTCGAAGGGAACATAGACTTGCTTCACCATGCTTTACTCCCATGTCAAGCAATCGTGTTAGTGTCAGAGATTTGTCATTATCCACTAGCCCAGTCCGTAGAGCGTTGATGATATCTGCTCCGTCCATGCTTTTTCCCACATGCGTTGGTGCATCGCTTGCCATTTGGTCCATTCACTCATTACCTTATATACTGTTCTAGAGGCAGGCTTGTGAAACATAGCCCATACTGAAGGCGAGTGTGACAAGCAAAACCTGTTCATGTTAAGTACAGTCTTCCACATTGTTGCCTTTGCATGTATTTAATGGGCTTCTTCTCAGATGCTCAGCTCTTTATCTATCTGCAGTCCTTCTCTACTTTATTACTATTTCCTTCTTGATTTTTCTCCTCCATGCAATATGGTCCCTCTAATCCTATTCAATGAATTCAGCTCAATTCCTGTATCATTCATACACTGCTTGCCAACATCTTTGTATTATAGCAGAGATTGACCTCTGTCATCTACCTATCTGTAATTCCTAAAAGAGAAGGTCATTAGGGACTCTACCATTCTCCATCTTCCAAGTGTGTCTTCGCCATCTGAGATTTCAAAGATTGAGCATTCAAAACAATGGATGTGATACCTCAGTGATTGTGATCTTGTTCTGCCACCTACGATTACAATATTATTATTAAATATAGATATTTTCTCAATCAAATAACCTAAATACCCTGAATTCATGGACATTTATGATTGTGTAAGTCAGACTGTGTGTGAGTGTGTGTGTTTGTGCACATGTGTGTACATGCATGTGTATGTGTGTGTGTGTCTTTGCTCAACTTCAGTCTTATTGAAAAAGTATGTAATCTGTCCTCCATCAAGTGATCAGTCATGAACAATGAGGTTGCAAAAAAAGCAAGAATCCAGAAAAGTATCGCTAAAACTTCATTGTGATCTCCTTGGGTAAATAACACATGCCGAATGCATGTCACAGCAATCTTCATTTTCTTCTTTTCAATTCATCCTTGAAAGGACTGGACATCATAGTTTAAAGCTAGGCTGGAATATCTAGGCCTTTCAACCCACAAAGTCAGTTAATTAGTTAGTTAGTTAGTTAGTTAGTTATTTGGGTTATCATCACTGCACTCCAGACATGTCCATAGGTGCTCAGATTCTCCCCAACGTCTGATGGCTAATAGTACCAGTTCTATGTTGATTAACAAGTCTTCTGGGGTGTCTGGTGTACGTCTCATTTTTTGCTATGCCGATGTTAATTCCCAAGTCTGCCATTCTGGCGAGTGATGTGGATTCACTGCCACCAAAGTCCTCTATCCTTCCCATTTCTCTGAGGGCATTAATAATATCAGCATGATCCATAAGCTGACCGTCGGTAGTGATAGCGGATCCAGCCAACCTGTCAGCTCTTTCATTTCCATCGACGCCTGCATATCCCGGAACAAAAATGAAGGTGACTCCACGCACAGTGGACTTCTGTAATGATTCAAGCCATTGTCTTTGTACTGAACCTGCCTGAACCCTCCGGATCATACTCATTGAATCACTGAGTATACATTCGCGGGTGTATTTTTGTGTTTTGCGCCTGGCAAACGCTTGCGTCACTGCCATCACCTCCATCGTTATGCTGCTTGTTGTCATGGAGAAGGTGCCGTTGGCTTCTTTGAATGTTCTGCCCGCTGAGCGTCCTGTGAATGCCCATGCACTTCTTTTTTGGCGTATAACGAATCCGTCTGTGAAGATTAGTGCATCTGCTTCGTCTGAATTTTCACTGATGAAAGCGTTGACCTCTGCATTAACAGCAACAGGATTCTCTTCTCTACATCGCCTGTTGAGTGTGGCAATACAGGAAAATTTACAAATAAACGCATGAGGCACAGGTATCCACTCTGCACCAGCGGTGATGTTGGTTAGACTGCATATTTCAGAGAACCCTTAATTTGCCATCTTTTACAATATGCTTGTAAACCGACTATATGTGACTCCTGCCTCTCATCCCCCCCCCCCTTTTTTTCCACCAATCACCAAACAGGGCCACGAATCCCTGATATCCTTCCCTCCCCCCCCCCCCCAATCCCTCCCAACGCAAACTCGTAACCTCTCTTCTGCACCATTTTATTGACAAACAACTCACCTGAGAATGTTGTCATATTCATCTTTGTTCCGCCTGTGCTGGTCATCTTCCGGTGACAGACCTGCAACACCTGAGTCATCATCCTGCCGGCGCTTTCTACCCTTCCCTGCTGACTCTGGTGGGCTACGTTTTGCATAAAAGGGAGTTCTGTCCGATTTGGCAATCTTGTCCTCTGGCGTTTCATCCCATTCACTTCCTGGCTGTTCCGAGTCAGTTTCTGGCTGCTGTTTATTTATCTTAGGGCTCTTCTTGTGTTTCTTGCTGTTATAGGGATATGGGCCATATGGATCGTGGTTACCGTTACTCTGATGCTTAGGTTTAGAATGTGGTGTAGGAGAGGGCGAGTTACGGTTATATGGATAGTCACTTGGAATCCTATTTGGGTCGCTTTTTCTGTATGGGTCAGAACCTATATAGGGTAGGGGTTTATATTTGTTACCAGGTGATGTTGTTCTTGGATATGGCCTGTTCAGTCTCTCATTTTCTGCAATATACAGAGATAGAATTGAAAAAAATAAAAAGACACTGCAATTACACACATATATCTACACACATATATACTCACACATATATCAACTGTATTTTTTGTTATGTAATATCAGTTAGTTAACAGCAGACTTGACAAATCTGCTGGATAATTGTAATATTATGGCAGGTACTGCTAAAGGTTATAAAGTAACAGAACTACTTTTCTTTTTATATTACTTTATTTTAATACTACAACTTTTATACTCACACATTACTATAATTTGAGACATTTTATGGCTGCTTTCAGTAATCTGGATGTTTTAAAAGACCTGAAGACAAACTTATCACAATTATTAGAAAGAGGCAGTTGACTTAGGAACATTAGAATGAGGCAGTCGACTTAGGAACGATGATATCAGGAGGAGAGATAGGGCAGAACCAATACTAAACTTTATAGGTAGACAAATCAATTCATCTGGCCATGCAACAAGATTGGCAGCAGATAGGGCACCACAGAGAGCAATGTTATGCAGATACAGCAGTAACAAAACCAGAGGTAAACCATGCAGAAGATGGACCACAGAAATATCAGACACTGAAAAGTACTTTATACAAAGCCAACCGAAGGGCCCATCCTGGAGATTTCCTGCCCTGGTGTTCTGAGGCATTCCTGGAGTAGAAAAAAGAAAGAAAGAAAGAAAGAAAGAAAGAAAGAAAGAAAGAAAGAAAGAAAGAAAGAAGAAAGAAAGAAAGAAAGAAGAAAGAAAAAAGAAAGAAAGAAAGAAAGAAAGAAAGAAAAGAAAAGAAAGAAAGAAAGAAAGAAAGAAAGAAAGAAAGAAAGAAAGAAAAAAAAGAAAGAAAGAAAGAAAGAAAGAAAGAAAGAAAGAAACGAAAGAGAAAAGAACGAAAGAAAAGAAAGAAAGAAAGAAAGAAAGAAAGAAAGAAAGAAAGAAAGAAAGAAAGAAAGAAAGAAAGAAAGAAAGAAAGAAGCAAAAAGAAAGAAAGAAAGAAAGAAAGAAAGAAAGAAAGAAAGAAAGAAAGAAAGAAAGAAAGAAAGAAAGAAAGAAAGAAAGAAAGAAAGAAAGAAAGAAAGAAAGAAAGAAAGAAAGAAAGAAAGAAAGAAAGAAAGAAAGAAAGAAAGAAAGAAAGAAAGAAAGAAAGAAAGAAAGAAAGAAAGTCACTTTTTTTTTAAAGTAAAATTATGAGAAGAGAAAAAAATACAGCATGTTGTAACAAATAAAACGATTTAAGGAAAAAGAAAAAGGAAAACACAGAGAAAAATTCTTGACAGCCTTTTGCCATGGCATGGAAGGGTATCAACATATAAACTGATACACTATTTTGTTCTCTGTATCCTTAATGTCCACTATTCTGCAAAACTGTTTGTACACTCTTCAAGATAGGAAACCAGTGGGATGTGCACAGTAAGTATATCTTCTTCTTCTTTTTATTTTCATCTTCTTCTTTTTCTTCTTCCTCTACTTCTTCTTCTTCTTCTTCTTCTTCTTCTTCTTCTTCTTCTTCTTCTTCTTCTTCTTCTTCTTTTTCTTCTTCTTCTACTTGTTCTTCTTCATCATCATCATCTTCTGCTTCTTCTTCCTTTTCTTCTTCTTCTTCCTCTTCTTCTTCTTTACTTCTTCTTCACCTCCTAGTTGTGCTAAGGCTACCTCACACAAGCTTTTTCTGAGTTTGTGATTGCCTGGATTTTACAGCTAATATTTTCCATAGTATGAGGTAGTCAAGAAATTACTGGAAAGGAGGTGTAGCAGCTAGACAGATGCTCACCTGAAGGTCATGGGATCAAGAATTTATTGACTCTCAGGTCAATCCATCTTCAAATGGGTACCAGGTAAAGTCTTGGGAAGTAAAGGTGGCCTGCATGATGTTGACCACAACACTCATCAAGGGCTGACTGGTCTATAAAAATGTGAGTCAAGCCTCAGATGCACGATGCACCACTGACGTTTTTTTTTTTTTGGGGGGGGGGGGGGGGGGAAGGAAGGTTTTTATTTTTACACTTTATCCCACCTTGTATGTTTTAGCTTAGCATTTTACATTCAAACTGCTGTATCTACCACATGACTACCTTCAAAGAATTCTCACTAGAATTTAGAATAGTTGAAATGAAAACTTTCTGTTTTCTTACTGCTGCTTGTTGCAACACATCTCAACATCTATGTTAAAGCAGTCACTTACCACCATGGCCAGGCCGATAGGTGCTGGGATAACTCCTTGGTGATACTTGTCGAGATAAGGGAGGTGACTGTGAAGACGTATCACTGACTGCAAGAGCTTCTCTCATTTCTGGCGTGACTTCCAGAATAAACAGTTCAGGAGCGTAAGCCTGAAAGACCGAACATCTTATGATTTTGTGACAATCAAGTTTTATTTTCAGACATTTAATTTTAAAATTTAAAAAGTTAAAACAGCTAGCTGCCTGGCGAGAGCGCTGTATACAGTACAAACTCCGTAGCACTGGTGACAATCCCTAGGGATCTCAATGCAACCTGCAGTCGTGAACTGAAGGGCGCAGTCATTTAATCAATTATTAGTCCCTATTTGAGATTTTGGGAGTTGCTGTAGCCGAGCGGCTAGACACTCGCCGCGGATTGGGAGGTCGTGAGTTCGCTCCCTGGCGGAGCTGGACTTTTTCTAAAACTACTTTGGCTCCCAGGTCGACCCAGCCTTGAGTGGGTACCGGGTGCAGTCCCGGGAAGTAAAGGCGTCTGGTGTGATGCTGACCACATCACTCATCTTGTGCCGATTGGTCTATAAAAATATAGGTCTAGCCCTATATGCCCTATACTCACTCCTAAAGGCGTGGAAAAGGGTCCTTTACTTTTTACTTTACTTACCTGAGATTTTATTAGCTGTGGTAGCTCAGTCGTTAGTGTGTTTGCTTAGCAAAACAGTGATCTGGGTTAAATTCCAGCTATGGTCAGATTCTTTGTTTTTTCATCTAAGTATCACCTTGGGTAGGGGGGAGGGGGGGGGGGTTCAAGCTTGCTTCAGGATATGGTCTGGGAAGGACAGACAGTAACAAAGCATCTCATATTAATGATTAAAAATGATGGTTAGACTCCTCTGTCAGGGAAACATTTACAGTCAAACATCTTTGCCCACGATGGACTGCTGGATACACGACTTAGTGAAACCATTTATTGATGCCCTAATTTTAACGTCTTTGAAGGTTAACTCTTTCATTCCAGGAGGTTAAGCCTCAGAGAGCCAGGGGTAGTAACAACAGAGGCAAAATCTGCACATCTTGCGTTCAAAGGGCTTTTAGGTAGGAATCTATGAACGTTTGATGCGTTCCTTGAGACTGAAAGAGTTAACTGGGGTTTATTCATCTTCGTTTTATTCTCCCTGCTATTTGTCTTCAGATGAGAAGGCCACAGGTCTCTATGAAGAGGGTGGTGTGACACATGTCATACCCTGATCCATGCAGATTGTTCCACCAGAATGCCAGCTGGCACAGACCTTTGTACCTCTCCACAAATCTTGTGCTTACCCTGTCCTGGATCAATTCAGGTAAGGTAAGAAAACAGACATTGGAATCTGGTAATCTGGTAATCCTGATTACCAGATTCATTGGAATGTCTTGCAGGGGTGCGGACACACATAAAACATTGGGATGGGGAAGTGTGGGTGGATGCCTCACTCAGCAAACTTGCAAATTGATATAGGGGGAGAGCCTTTGTTTCAGCCATGTTTCAATGCACATTTAAATATGTACATATAATGCACTGAATGGCACATAAACATATTTGAAGAATATATTAAATTCCTAAATAAACATTTACAAAGCGAAATTCTATACATGGCATGCGATGATGGTCACAAAGCCTGCTTAGAGATGAGGTTTCTCTTTTTTTTGGGGGGGGGGGGGGAGAGGGGGGGGGTCAAGGTACTTTAGCCCACAGGTTCTGGTGCCTATGGTGTCTTGTATCATTATTATAAGGCTGCATGGACCCCAGAGCCGTACTGGTTTGAAAATTTTACCCTGTCTCTGTTGGAAAATGAATATTAGACTACTATCTTGGAAATTTGATACTACAGTAGTATCTCAGTGATGAACTACACAATATAGAGGGGGTTTCCGTGGCAAACTAGGCAAGCCCTTTTCCCAGCACTCTGAAGGTTCTGGGTTTATTTCATTGATGCCTTGTTCACTTCATAGGTATAATATTGTCAGAGATTTCAGGGGAAGGGGAAGGGGGGGGGGGGGGGGGTGTCACTGGAGCTACAAAGTTTAGAATTTGTGCAACACTTCTGGCAGGCAAACAGCCATTCTGTGAAGACAGACCAAGCCATATAGGATAATTTGTGGCAACGAAGTCAATCCTATTGACTTTTAAATGTAACTAAAGCATGTCATGAGAGTCGTCTAACTGGGAGATTCCTTCAAAGTGTGTCTGCCAGAGAGGCAAGGAACTAACAGTCTGCATACAAATGAGGCAGATCTGTAAAATAGATGTGCACGCAACACTCAGGTTCTGGAATAAGACAAAAGTCCATAGGTGGATGAATACTTAGAACTGACCATCGGAGTTTACAGCTGGTAAACGCAATGAAGAATAAGAAATGTAACTTTATATATAATAATAAATGCATAACAGACTAAAAAAGTTACTATACTATAGACTTACCACTGGTGGTATAAAATGTTTTGCTTTCAACTGGTATTCTTGTTTTAAGCGTAACTGAAAAAAGGCAACAATAGAAATGTCAAATTCAAGGGCATAAATAATCCGCCATTTTAAACAGCACACTGCCATTTTTTACTAATATTTACTTATATTCAAACTGGCCAGTAACCTGAATGTTGAAAATAAATGGCATTTCCAATTTATATATAAAGGAGACTCCAGTAACTAGATAAAAGTGTGGCTCTGTGGATTAGAGGTTAGTGAAATCCTTTCACAATCCTCAGCAAACCAGGGTTTTATTTCCACGGCAGATGCTTGGGATAAAAACAGTTCTGTGACTGCTGGACCCTTGTACAAGGGTTGTATTGTGGAAGAGATGGGGGCCACCACACATAAAGAAAGCGGTGGATTCATTACAGTCAGCCTCTACTGAGGAGTACTGTAAAAGAAATTAATTCCAGCTCTTCAGGCCAAGACATATATTACTTAACCCTTTCACCCCAGTGTCCTAGAAAAATCAAAGCCGATCTCCTGTACTTTAAATTTTTCGGAAATTCCTTAAAATAAAAATACTTTTAAAGCAAAACAAAACAAAAACATTTTACATATGTCCTCAAAACAAAAACAAAAATTTATTTATCATCCAATTTATCATGCCTGCGTGCGTGTGTGTGTGTGTTACCGTGGTCAGACTCCGCCCAACGCTCCTCAGAAAGACGTAATCTTTAGGCAAAAGTTCATCTGTGTTAGCACCTAACTGCTGCACTATCTCTTCTCTGATGTCCACCAGTCGGATCTCTGCTGGCACCCTGCAAAGAAAATCAAGAAAACAGCTCCTTCAATAAACATCACCCCCGTGTGGGTTCCAGGGCCCCATCGGGGGGAAAACAAGAATAGACCCACTGCCTCCCGAAAAGAATGTTGTAAGAGTCGACTAATTGGGGAGCTTCCTTTGAAGTCTGAGTGCATCTGCCGGAGAGGCAAGGAACCAACAGTCTGTATTCAAGAGAATGAGATCTGTAAAACTGATGCACACGCAACACTCAGGTTCTGGAGCAGGACTGCAGTTCAGTAATGGACGAGCAACCAGAACTTTCCGCCAGAGTGTACAGCTGGTGAACGCAAAGAAGAAGAAGAATAAACATTAAATACTAAAAAATAAATGAATAACTAAAAAAAAAAAATTTTTTAAACTATACAGCTACAGGTTGTGAAAAACCCCTAATTAGTCGCCTTTCACACCATGCGTGTTAGGGATGGCAGTTGCTCCCACCTGGGGAAGCTAACGTTTTATTGTTACCAAAAGGGTCATAATGATCTTCACCTCATCAGGACATTCAGAATGACCCAGGCTAAAATGAATACCGGGAAATGGAACTTCAGGTGGCTGGCACAATAATGTTGACATCACCCACTGAGTTTCAGTTAGTCTATAAAACTATAAAGTCTAGCAAGAAATACCCAGTGCACAAATGGCATGAAAAAGGTCCTTTGATATCTGATAGATTTTAACCTGAACATTTATTAATTATTGTAACTGCCCAAGATATACCATACCTAACATTCAGTCTCAGAAACTCCCTGAGTGGGTTCTGGGGTCCCAAAATTATGGGAGAATAAAGAAAAGACACACTGCCCATCTCCCCTTCCCACCCCCCACCCCTACTCTTCCCTCCTCCCAAGAAGCATGTTGTATAAGGCGGCTAACTGAGGGTGTGGTGAAATCATATTTGTTGGGTCAAAGAGTGCAGATATCACAGCTTAGCAGTAAACCACGACACCGCCAGCAAACTGCACTTTTAAGTGCAAGCCAAGAACAAGTCTCCAAAAACACATCTCAGCAGCCTCAAATCTCTTTGTGTTCATTCACATTGTATGATTAACTGCCATACAACGCAACAGGTTTTACATAATAAATCGGTACTCTCTTTAACATTTAAAGGAAGTAACTCATTACATAAGACATGGTTGGTCAACGTTTCCCTCCAGAATTCCTGGATTAACACCTCATGGATGAGAGTCAAACAGGAAGAAATCCTAGAAACCCTGTTCAAGCGTATAGCAGGGTTACATTAGGGCTTTGTTGTGTGCAATATATGGGAAGGGAAGTTCATTGTTGAACGTGGGACTTGGTGCGGTGCGCACACATTGAACGTGATGTAGAGAGAGAGAGAGAGAGAGTGAGTAACGGTGGACTCTACTACGCTGTGTAGGAAGCCTGTTCTAATCTGGATGGATCCAGGCTGGTCCTGCATAACTGTGTTACGCTGGCGGTAGGGTACGGGCTGTCTGTGAGTGTTGTTACAGCGGTCGCGCCAGCGTGACAGACGCTCGTGTGGCCGCAGACGAAAGGTCTGGACAAGTTTCACAATGTACTGTGCATCGGCCTGTATGATTCTGCTATGACAGTGTACCCAAGGGATGGGTGTGATAGAGGTAGACACATAATCACGAGCAGTGGGTTTGCACGAGCAGGTAATGTTTGCTCGTTGTTGACCACGGAACAGGGTGGCAGTAGAAGTAGCCCAGAGCGTCCGGAGTGTGCGTCGCCTTGATAAGGAGGAATGACCGTGGTGGTGTAACGTTTTATTCTCGTGATGCCTTTCATTGTTTTGGTGTTGAAATTAGAAATACATTAATTCTGTTTGACGTTCAACATGTATCCGGCGTCCTTATTGCTGTTGGGCGGGAATGGTGACTTGTTACTGTAACACTATTTAACATACCATGGATACTTGGCAAGTGTGCGTTGTATCAAGCGAACATTCGCACACGTCAATGGGGAGCCAAGCCTTTAAAGAATGAGGGACCTCTGGTCACAAGTGTGATACGACATTTTGTCCCATTGGGTTTGTTCTTTAGTCAGAAGTATCGTCAATGGGGGCCGAAGCCTGTCCCAGAGAATTCATAATTAGGCACTGAAACCTGGCCTAGAGAATTCTTCATTGGGAACCAAAGTCTTGCCCACAGAATTAGTTGCTGGGAGGAGATATCATCGCCTGTCATCGAAGTCAACCCGTGTTGCGTCACTGAGATCAAGGCCGTCAAGCGGAGACGTCGCAGTGGAGAACTTGACTTTGCTGTGATCTTTTTCTTCGAGGTTGATCAGCTGATATTTACAGTTGCGGTATTCCTGTGAGTGGAGCGATCGATTTCCGCTAAGCTGCTTCTGAGTGTGAATTGGAAATGCTTCACCATCATTGTTTGGATGCGATATTCATGAGGTGATGTACTTTGTGGTTAGTTTTTGGATTCATAAGTTTATTGCATTGTTCGCTGCATTGTGTATGCTTGGTAGCCCTATGTTTCTTGTCTTTTGATCTGTTATTCATCGTCAAGGTAGTGTGTTTAGGTCGTCCAGTTACGTTTAGGCTACGTGAATATTGTAAAGGTCTAAGTGCGTGATTAGTGTGCCATTTTATAGCATCTCGTCATACCGCGTAAAAATACTGACATGTCATTCAGCGAATTCGTTCAGATGGCTAGAGACCTAGGCCTGGAGGCAGAACATGTAGTCACCTTCGCAGAGGCTAGGATGAGAGAGCTATCTGAAAGAGAGACCGCCATGAGGGAAGAGAGAGCTGCGGAGAGGGCCCATAGGAGGGAGATGGCAGAGGTAGAAGCCATGACAGTTACAGCTAATAAAGAGCTGGAATTAGCTCGGATCGAAAGAGATAGGGCTGTAGCTCTGGCAGAGGCCAGCAAGACGGCGGATGCAAAGGAAGGTAACAAAGATTATGGTGATCATGATTTGAGCAACTACAAGCCAAGGTTACCTTACCTTGGTATCCAGGATGATATTCATTCTTATTTGGACCGTTTTGAAGATGCGATGCGCAGTGGACGCATCCCAGAAGCACAATGGGTGTCTCGACTGCGAGACCTACTGACTGGGAAAGTACTAATAACATTTAGTAATTTCTCAGAAGAGGAGAGAAAGTCGTATGTTGTTGTACGTCAGAAATTGTTGGCATCTAGGTTGTTAACAGAAGCAGGTTATAGGAATCAGTTTCATACACTGATGCCTACACCAGATGTCAGTTTCTCTGAGTATGTTGCTCAAGTAAAAACCATTTTTTTTCAGGTGGGTGAACTTGGCAGAGGTCGGCACATCTTTTGATAAATTGGTTGATCTTATTTTGAGAGACAAGGTATTATTATCCTGCAGCAATGATTTGTGTACTTTTTTTCAAGAAAGAAAACCTAGGAGTTTGGAGGATATGATCACACTGGGTGAACAATATATCACAGCTCATCCAGGGAAGGCGATACATAAGGAGAAAATTGACGATTTTTTCCCAGCAGCGGCAGGCCTTCAGGTCAGACCTTCTCCGGTTACACAGAATCATGGGAGCTTTAGGAATAAGGATTCGACAACGGTCCAGAGGCCCAAACAGGGGAAGCAACAGTGGAAGGGCCTCACTAATAATGAGCAGCCCGGCTGTAAATTTTGTGGGTCCTGGAGACACAGATCTGAGGACTGCCAGTATAGGGATAGGAGGGATGATGACAACCCACCGGGAAAAAGTTTTTTCAGATCTAGAACTATTAAGTGTTTCCTGTGTTCAGGACCACACAAACGTAGTGTATGCCCTAAAGTAGTAAAGGGTAAAGCAAGTGCGGCACAGGTAGGAGACAACGGTAGATCTACCCAAATATACAATGACATAGTGAAAGTAAGACCCCAAGTTATATACCCCACCTTATCAGCAACCTTTCAGATCGGGGGGTTACCCATCCATAAAGGGTATGTGGGTCAGAAAAGTTGTACTGTGTTAAGGGACAGTGGCGCCAATGTAATCGGGGTTGCAAAATACCTAGTGCCTAAATCTGACTATTTGGGAAGAAGTGTACAATGTAGAACCTTTGGGGGGAGAATTGAGACTTACCCGCTGGCTCGAGCATTTTTGGATTGCTGTTTTTTCAAGGGTCATGCAGAGGTGTGCGTTTTGCGACACCCAGCTGCGGGAATAATGTTGGGAACGGTAAAGGGTGTAAAGGAACCAACTGAAGAAGAAATCAAACATTAGTACAGTGCTCACGAACGAGTGGCAAACGCAGTGGTCACAAGAGCCCAACAAATTCAAAAAAATGAATACGCCAAAACCGATGCAGTTGTGGAGGCTTCTGATGGAAGTCAGCTGGTTATTCCAGAAACCATAACCTCAGAAGAACATAACATTACATCAAAACCAGGGACCCAGGGTAGTTTCAAGGAATGCCAGCAATCGGACCCAACTTTGAAGAAGTATTTTCTTAAGGCACAATACTCTGGATATAAGAAAAGTAAGGGAGGGAAGTGGTACTTCTTCATAAAAAATGGCATTCTTATGAGGTATTTTGAGAGAGCCAACAACTCCTACAAACAGCTTGTTGTACCACTCATCTATAGGGTTGAAGTTTTGAAAACTGCACATGATACCCCATTTGCGGGGCATTTGGGCATCGGTAAGACGCAGAGAAGAGTCTTATCTCAGTTTTATTGGCCAGGGTGTTCTACGGATATTCGTAACTATTGCCGATCATGTAAGGACTGTCAGTTGATGTCTAGGAGAGGTGCATTACAGAGGGCTCCAATTCAGAGTACATATTTGCCCTATCGCCCATTCGAGAAAGTAGCAATAGACATAGTAGGTCCATTATCGGTCATGTCTGAGAGAGGGAACAGGTTTATACTTACCTTCATAGATCTTGCTACAAGATGGGTCGAATGTGTCCCTTTACGATACATTACATCTGAGGCTGTAGCGGAGTCTTTAATGCTTATTTTTTCTCGTCTGGGTTTCCCAGATACTATCCTTTCGGACCA